GTGAATGTTTTGATGAATGTATTTTCAATGTAATACTTATTTATGTACTGAGGGAATTTTAATATTACCAACAATATTACTTAAATCACGACTTAAATTTCTATTGTATGTGGGACTGAATTTGAAATATTTTGTCCGTTTTTGCAAATGTATGAATGAATGAGAATGAATTTGAATGATACCTTGTTTTAGCTACATACTTATTTCATATTTGTAATAAAAGCTTTTTTTGTTGTCACTTTTAAATCATATTTCCAATAAAATGAGAAATATTCTAAAACAAGCTGAAAAGCAAGGGAAAAATTAATCCGAACGAATAGTGAAGCAATTTATTACAAGGATTATGCAGAATACCTCCATAGTGACCAGGAAAGAAATATATTGAACCAGGAGGTGTCAACGAAACTGTTCTAACATATTTTTGAGAAATGGTAAGGTGTTTCTTCATTTTTCTTTTCTCAGTAGATTTGGAAGTAGGTAATTTGGTAATTGAAGTATTCGTGGGTTTATTATTAATTTGTGGTGATGGAGATGTAGATGAATTAGACTAAATACTTAGTTTCAATTTTTTTTTTCCACAATTTACTAGGAATGTTCATACTTCAGTTTGGGTTTATTTATGGTACGATCAAATATTAGCATACCTTGTATGTAACACACTAATGTTTTATGTTGAATGTTCTAGAATACTATGGTATTGTATTGGTACCTGTTGCACTGGGATTTTTAGATTATAATGCCCTTCAGGCGAAATATATTTCTCGGGCCAGAGGTCCTCGGTCTAATTTCGCCTTCTGGGCATTATAATCTTTCATTATTAAATTTGAATATCATTGGGTGTTGATCAAGTAGATACTTATTCTATGTAGAATTGAGTTCAAAGTAGCAGTTAGTATACACTTATTTTTAAATTGTTCAGGAACTTTCACATGATAACACTTGCATTACTTTTTAGGTACTAATTGCTCTCAGATTTTATGCATCCGGTTCATATCAAGAGATTACTGGCTCAAACATATACACTGGAATGTCGCAGGCCAGTGTTAGCCGTAGTATTGAGGAAGTAACTGATGTGTTGAACCGAGATGAAATAATTAATCGATGGATCAGATTTCCTCAGAATCTGCAAGAGCTGAGAATTTTGAGAACGAGGTAAGGCTGCTAATACTGCATTCAATTTATATTGAAGTTTCTTCAGCATTCATTACTTATTTTAAGCTGTGAAAATTTATACTAAGATTCATGCCTGTTTCTTAAATTTTCACTCTTCTTAAAAGTACTCCTTTTGCTTGTCCATTTGTTCATATTCATTAAAAAATTGAATTTATTGAGAAATCAAGGGTGTACAATTTACAATACAATACTATACAGGGTGTTCCTAAATATCATGTCAATATTGAAGGAGCTAATTCCTTGGCTTATTTTATGACTAAAAGCTCATATAAGTTTGTGCCCTAAAATGCTTTATTTTAGAGATACAGGGTGTTGAAGTTTTAAAAAAAAATCAGTTTTTCATTCATAACATAAACACTCTTCAACCAATTTTGATGAGACTAGGCAGTTTTGTTTGTAGTAGTAAGAGGCTCATTTAGAGCCGATTGGATTACAATTATTACATTCAGTGGCGTCCCGGAGGGAAACCTAATTGAGACTTTTGGCAAAAAAAATGTACGCCACTGTTTTCATTTACATTTTTAAAATTGTTTTCGAATAATCAATTAAAAATACAACTTTTTTGTCTCTTCAATTTTTTTTGTAACTGGCATCGTTTTTGAAAAATCTTCAACACCCTGTATCTCTAAAATAAAGCATTTTAGGGCACATACTTATATGAGCTTTTAGTCATAAAATAAGCCAAGGAATTAGCTCCTTCAATATTGACATGATATTTGGGAACACCCTGTATAATCGAGTATATAGTATAATAATTTATTATTGTGGTACAAGGCATGTTATGCGTAGACCTGCATGTGCCACGTTTAATAGTATAAGTAGTGAATATTGATAGAAGATGAGATGATTTACAATATTATATATGGTTTTCTTTCAGATTTTATGAAAAATTTGGAATTCCGGGTGTTGTAGGGTGTATAGATTGTACGCACATTGCTATTGTTCCACCTCAAGGCGATCCTGAACACCCGGAGCACATTTATGTGAATAGAAAAAAATTTCACTCAATCAACTGCCAGCTGGTAGGTTCTAAAATGTATTCGAATTTATTTCTAATACCTATATGTATTCACATATTGGTTTTTCATTTTCACTGACCTTCTAGGTGTGCGATGAAAACTTGAGAATCCTCAATGTAAATTCAAGATTCCCAGGCAGCATTCATGATGCATACGTATGGCAGCAGTCAAATTTGTCCAATCTTATGGAAAGAATTTATAGACAAAATCCAAATGATCCTTACTTTTTAATTGGAGATTCAGGTAATAAAATAAAACTATAGTCATTAATCATTATATAACTTTTACTCACAGACCAAAAGAAGCCTATTAGTATTTTCTCCGATACTTAATTGGCTTTAATTTCAATTTGGGGCTTCATTTACAACAAAAACAATCATACCTAATAGTGTTACAATATAGAACGGATAACCACATAATTAAAATTATAAATTGATCTCTATTACATGAAAAAATATATACGAAAAACATCCCAATTTTATTCACGTGATTTGTTTCAGGGTATCCCTTGAGGCCTTGGCTTTTAACGCCATTGGAGAATCCTCCTGCTCCCAATACGGCTGGGGAAAGGTTTGATAGGGCATTTAAATCTGCAAGATGCGGCATTGAAAGATGCAATGGCGTGCTTAAAGCTAGGTTCAGGTGTTTGCTTAAAGATAGGACTTTACATTACCACCCAGTCAAGGCATCAAAGATAATAAAGGCTTGTGCTGTTCTGCACAACATGTGTATAGAAGGTGGACTTGAAATGTGTGTGTGTGAAAATGTGGAGGATATTATTGAATTTGAGGGAATGGATATCAATGTGCCAGTTAATGCACAAGAAAGACGAGTGAATGCAGATCTTGCCCAAGCAAGAGCGTTACGAACAAACATTATCAACAATCATTTCAATTAGAATTTAAGTGATTATCAAAATTAATCTATTTGTTTGTAGGATAATTTTTTGAGGTAGGTTGAGGAAGGTTAAGTTATCACCTTTAGAACTATACTGCTTTAAAGATGATATATAATAGTTTTCTATTTTGTCAGATTTCTAGCTTTGGTGCAGCCCTTTGGCACGAGCTTTTTGATGAAAAGTTTCCACAAAGGACCCCGCACACTCCTTATGGGATTTCTGACCGCGGTCAAATTTAACCAAATTTTAGTATGTTATAGATCTCACCTTTCTGATCAATAACTCTCATTGCCACAACTTAATCCTATGACTAGTTTCTGAGATACAGGTAGTTTAATGTCCAAGAAATGCACACATTTTATATGCATTTACATCTACCTGTCACCTAAAAATGCCAGGATGAACAGGTATCCTCACGCTCAGGTGACAGGTAGATGTAAATGCATATAAAATGTGTGCATTTCTTGGACATTAAACTACCTGTATCTCAGAAACTAGTCATAGGATTAAGTTGTGGCAATGAGAGTTATTGATCAGAAAGGTGAGATCTATAACATACTAAAATTTGGTTAAATTTGACCGCGGTCAGAAATCCCATAAGAAGTGTGCAGGGTCCTTTCTGACAGATACTTATCATAATATGGACTATGAACGTACGATCACGATTCGGAAAAACTCATTACTGGGAATTTTTCTGCTTGCTGATGGTGAGGTTTTAGTGGGTATGCCCTCCACATTGCACTTCGTGGAGGGAGAGCCCCACACTACCCGGTTCACGGTTGCTGGGTGTGCATAAGGCGCATTTCCTCACCTTAAAAAAAAAAAAAAACAGAAGGACTACAGAATGGGAATAGGATATATTGTGTTTTATTTTAGAATCAGTAACAATAGTTTCCAATATTAATAATTGAATAATTATTTTCAATTATTTTAAGTTCTAAAGTAATATTTGTTAATTTAATGTGAACTTTTGATTAATACAATAATTTCTTCATAGGTATTCGAGGTACTCGAGGAACAAAAATTAAAACCTTAACTATACTTAAACTATATGGACACTGAGTACGCAAACATTGGAATAAAACTTATTTAAATATACTGAGTTGATTTTCAATTTTAATGGCCGTTTTTTTGATGATACTACCATGTATATAGGATGACCCAAAAACAAGAAAGTCAACTGCATTTTTTTAAATGAAATCATCAATATTTTATTCCATTTTTTTTTCTACATTAAATTCTGAACCTATTCTATGATCATTTCCTATACCTACCATCGAGTTTTTCGGAAATATTGACAATTGAAAACTGACTTTTGCAACTGTGACAGGCTGTAAAACTTGAACTGTTAATTTTGATAATAATAATAATAATATATTACACACATTATTTATTACATCTTTTTTCAGCAAAAGAAAAAATTAAACTGGATTTTTAATCATGAATTAAATTTAAAGCGTCTCAAATGATTTTGATATAAATCTAAGACGAGGATGTATCAACAGTTTTGCTTTAAAATTAACCTTTGCAAAAAAGTTAATTTTCAACTGTCAATATTTCCGAAAGTTGAAAACAGTAGAAACTTGATACATAAAATAGGTTCAAAATTTAACGTAGAATTTGAAAATGAAATGAGGAAATGATATTACCATTGAAAAAATTAAGTTAGAGGTTACCTATAGCTTCTTTTTGGGTCAGCCTGTATACATGATAAAATCATCACAAAAATGTACACTAAAATCAAAAACGACGGAACGACGCCTCCGACGTTTTTTGGAAAAAAAACAACCCTGTATATTTTATGAATTTGTTCCATCCTTTGAGTGCTCACTGTATAATAAATAATTAAACATCACAGTTATATCACAATAAATAAAACAGGAAACAGGACATCTTCTCAATCACTTGTCTCACTCTCCAGCAAGATCCTGTTCAGAGGAACTGAGCAATATATTTCTGATGTCCCTTAGTACTTCTACTCCTTCTTTCATAATTTGAGTCTTCTTTTTAAAATATTTTTTCCTTTCTTCCATAAATTCTATTTTGGCTTCATAATATGTCTGCTCCATGTTTTTTCTTTGGTCAACGACATTAAGAAAATCTTTATTCATTTTATAGGAACTTTCAAATTTTTTTGTTTTTGACATTCTTAGTTTTTTACTTGATCTTTCATTCTCATAATTAATGCTTTTCTCAGGAATTTCATCTAGGGGTTCAACGATACCGGATTGCTCTTGCTTCTTCTGCAAAATAATGCTTTTAATTTAACACTAAAGTTATACCACATTAATCTTCTAGAACTACTAATACTGATACAAATTTCAGATTTTTTTCAAGAAGTTCAAGCACTTCAAGCTGGTGCTATTTTTAGTCTAGACAAGAAAAAGAGTTGGAACATTTTTCTTATTTTTATAGAATATCTGCATTCTATAAAAATAAGAAAAATGTTACATCTGTTGTGTCATCGTTCTTATCAAACTTGAAATTTAGTTATTTTTCAAATGGATCATGTGACTGAAAGTATAAAAAACTTCATACTTGTTTCATGATGTCCCCATTTATATCATCTGTCATCTGTGAGTCCATTACCTGGATGTCGTCAACTTGTACCTATAAATAATGAATAATGAAAATAATGGAATATTCCAGCTATATGTACTATGTTTGATAAGGCAATGGAAAGAAAGTTAATAATCATAAGATATAGGTACTTTTGAGCTGAACAAGTACACATAGTGTTCCACAGCAGTCTCGACAGCAGTTTACCCAAATTTGAGTTGAGCACGAAAGTGATTCTACCAATAAAAATTTGAAATACAGTTACTACCTCGGTTACTAGTAAAGTTTAGCAAAGATTTATGTTTGTTAAAACAAAGAAATGTTTCAGAAAATCATATAAAAAAGGGCTATTCCATCCAAGAAACAATACATCCTGCAGCATTTAATGTGTTTCGTTTTTGCTTTTGATACATTTTTTATATGATTTTCCAATTTTTCCATGCTCACCAGCAATGTATGACATTGTCTGCCTAAAATCTCATCCTCATTATCGACATCATCAGTTTCCTATAAAAAAATAGTTTGTTGTTAATTATAATAAAGCAAAACATAAAATGCCCAAATTACATACTTGAAACGTGAAATCCACATTGGTTTCCTTTACACTCCTATGTCCCTCTTGTGACACTGTACCAATTATATTCAGCACCTCATTGTCCCTTTCATCCATGAATTTCAAAGGAGGTCCACCTCCAGTTTTCATACAATGCTTCCTATTTTCTGCAGCTCTGCTTTTAGTATTTTTTTTAATATCTGTCCAAGTCTACAATATAAACCTTGCATATCACCTACACATTTCAAATTGGTATTTAAATTAGGACCATTGAAAATACTTTCAAATAATTGATAATTAGTGTGCCTAAATTGTTTTAACATTTACAACTGAAAAAATGCCTACCTTACGCCACTGCTTCCAATCTTTTTTGGACCCTTTGGCAACACTATTTAAATTACTGGTTATTTCTTGCCATTGTTTTTGTGCATCTTTGAAGGTGAATGAATTAGATCGGTTCAAAGCTGAATTTTCCTTTGCCAAGGTTCTCATGATTTTTCATGAACTCGATCAAGAGATGTTTTTGGGTGGCGTTCATTGGTATTCTTCTTTCGATTTTTTCTATACTATACAGAAAGTTGAACAAGAGTAAATTGGAAAAAATATTATAACTTGCAATAAAACTGAATATAACTGTAGCTCCTTGGAGTCCTAGACCAAATTATGAAAGTTTCTTATTCCAAAATAACTTTGAGTAAGTAACTAATTACCAAATAGGCATAGATGGATTGAGCTTCCATGGGGCCCGGGGCTATTGAAGTTGTTCAGTGTTGTGTCGTCGGCTCTGTTCAGTATCGTGCAACCGCGGCTCACCTTCGATTGGAACTCATTCCTAATCGTGGAGCCCATTCCTAACCGTCCTCGGTCCCCAATAAAGAAAAGAAGAATATGACAGAAGACAAAAAAGAAGAGAAGTTTTTGACATATGAAATTATTATTTACGAATTTACGATTGTTATTATTGACACACACACATGCTTGACATGTTTTATAAGTTTCTATAACTTTGTACAATTATTTAAATAAATAATTGCTTGAAACGTGAAATTCAGATAATTTAAACTCTACGAACAACATATTGGTCCTTCGAGCCGGATACATCAGCTCAACATCGAAGAAAATCACATAACCACACTTCGGGCCAAGGCCCTAGAACATAGCAAGTGAAGGCAACGTCAAGCTTGGACCTTGGAAGAGGCCTACAACTGAAAAAACTCCCTTTTGAGGCTGAACAACTTCTTTGACGGCGGACGATCATCAGGTCAGTGCGTTCCTTTCTCATTACCTCTCCCATAATCCCAACCATAATTTCCCTAACCTACAAGCCTTCATTTAGTTATTTTTCATCTTTTATTTTAAAACAGCACTTCGCTTAACTTAGACACGTTTTTCTTTGATGGTTACTTATATTGATTTCACATTTGTTTACTACTTTCACATAACCTTACGATTTTCTTGATTTACTGATCATACACTCCCTTGCCATACCTATTGGTTTTTCTTGCTGTTTGACATGGCAGAGGAGGCTAAAAACAAGCGTAAGGCCTTAAAAAGTGCCCTCACTCGATTTGAAAACTATTTTAACACTCTGAAAATAACCTATAAAGTAACAAATATAACAACTATTGATTTAGTGCAGTTAGATGCACGTTTGCAAAAATTACATTCTTCTTTAGAGGAATTTAACACTGTTCAATTAATTATTGAAGCCTCAGATCCCGACGACCAAGAACATGAAGACTTACATTCCGTAGAAAGGGAAAATTTTGAAAATAAATTTTATCGACTCGTCTCTGAGGCTCGAAAATTCTTGATTGATCAAACACCTAGAGAGCCAACGACGAATGTGGGAAATACAAGCAACTCATCACCTAATCAGTCAAATAATGATGATGATTTAATCAATATTAAACTGCCACAAATTAATTTGCCCACCTTCGACGGATCCTATGATCAATGGTTTTTCTTCAGGGACACTTTTAATTCTTTAATACACAATAATAGTAAGCTTACACCTGTCAGAAAGTTCCACTACCTACGCCTATCTTTAAAAGGCATAGCTGCTGAGACAGTTGCTTCTCTAGAAATCTCTGACAGCAATTACAATATTGCTTGGAACATTTTGAATGATAGGTTTGAAAATAAAAACATTTTGGTAAACAATCATGTAAGTTTTGAAATAGTAGTCCATGTCTCACAGTGAAGAGAATAGTTAAAGAACTGGAGTAAAACACACAGTCTATCTTCACTCTTTATTTTACAAAAATAATCAGTTGGAAGGGGGGTTGTACATGTTTCGGATCTATCATAGATCCATCATCAGCATAAGTTCTACAAGTTACAAAAATATGGGAGTTATGGCGACGGGCTGGGGTGTATACATCAAAAACTTACCAAATGGCACAGGGAAAATATGGTCATATACGACATGCCTAAGTATAATAATTATACATAAAAATATAAGTGTTCATGCTGTTATCAGCATAAAGTTGGTGGCTAAAGCTGCATCCAACACAGAACATATTTACAAAACTGGAATAGAGGAAGCTTGTGAGTACGATTTCAAAAATTACGTCAAAGTTTCAACTTACCAAAGGTGAAGATTGAAAAAATTATTTTATTAACATTAGAAAAATAGGACTGCCACACAAACACAGAATATGCCTATAGGAGGCGGAATTCTGGACGCTCATCTGTACTTCTGGATGTTAGTGGGTGTTAGCTTTTAGTTGTTAATCAAATTTCAAAAATTTACTTAATGAAAATCGTGCTGTCTGCACGAGGAGTAAGAATGTAATGGAGATGAGGAAGAAGATGGTGGCAGGAAATTAGTAAAATTTGCTGCATAAAAAACCTGACAATTCCAGAAATCAAACCAAGTAGCCCCCTCTCACGACCAAAAGCCAAACAATCATAGTTGGATACTAAGTTACACATCCAAAAACAATAAAATATGTTGTAAGCAATAATGAGTGTGATAAATTAAACTAAATTAAATTGAATAATATCATTACAAAAGGGATAATCAGAGTTTGACTATTGAATATTAAATTTTATATTTTTAAAAGGTTCATAAAAGGAATTATACTCCGGTGGGTAGCGTCACCTAACACGAACAGACAAAGGTGCAAGCGGTGGTTGAATTTGTCTACTAGGGAACCCTACAAAAACTAGCGTGGTACCGCTGTGACAGGTATATAGATGGCGGCGCCCAGGACTGAAACCAAGGAGAAGAAATCTTGAAAGAAAAGAAGTAAAAGAGTGAGGTTAAACATTGTTGTTATTGACCAAATATGAATTTAGGTTGAAGTAAAGGAGAAACCAAGAGAATTGAAAAACTTCAAGCAGGAAAAATGGATTTGATCATTCACACAGGTTTTTTGAGAATTGCGCAAGGCTTTGTTGATTTCCAGGATTTCGAGTAAGTTCATAATGCGTCCCTTTTCACAGTTGTGTAAAACTACAACATCTTTTTCAGGGTCGAAAGAGTGTTTTTCTTTAAGAATGTGGTCCGAAAAGCTAGATTTACTCTGGATAAGGTCTATAGGAACTGAAGAATGTTTTCCAATTTCTCTAACATGTTCGTTGACTCTTAGGGATATCCTTCTGCCGCACTGGCCAACATAACAGACAGTACAACCAGGCTGTGAGCAGTTTAAACAATATACTCCCGATTTATCCAATAAGGGAATTCTGTCTTTTGAATTAACTATAGAAGAGCCAAGGGAGTTTTGGGTTTTGAAACAGATATTAATGTTGTATTTGTGGAATAGACTTTTGATACTATGTGAAATTGGGCCCAAGAAGGGTATGGAGAAGAACTTATTTGTATTGTGGTCTGGTGGTGAAAAAAGATTTTTATTGAGTACTGATTTATTGAAATGTTTGTAGAATAGTTTATTAATAAAATTTGAAGGGTAGCCATTGGCTGTTGCTATTTGTTTAATAATGTTCAACTCTCTGTTAAAGTCCTCTTTAGCCATAGGGATTGAAAAAAGTCTATTGAAAAGGGCATTGAAGGCAGCAGACTTTTGGTTATATGGGTGGTTAGATGAAAAAGGAATCACAGTGTCTGTGGTGGTAGATTTGCGGTAAATAGAAAAGGAGAGTTTATTGTGAGTTCTAGACAACGATATATCCAAGAAGGGTATAGAACCATCCTGTTCCAATTCCATAGTAAACTTTATAGAAGGGTGTAGTGTATTTAAAAAATTCTTGAATAGGTTCAGCTTGTCAAGGGTGTTATTATAACAAAGAATGATGTCATCCACATATCTGTAATAAAAAACTACATCAGAGTAAAAATCACTCAATCTGATGCTCTTCTCTAGATTATCCATAAAAATTTCGGCTAGAAGTGGAGACAGGTTGGAGCCCATGGCGAGTCCATTATTTTGTCGGTAGAAGGAATTGTTGAATTGGAAAAAATTTTGTTTAAGAACAAGGTCCACCAAAGACAGGATGTATTCTGTGACATCGTGGGTGAAATTGTGGAATAACAGAAGGTTGTTAACAAGTTGTAAGCAATCATCTGGAGGTACACTAGGAAAAAGGTTGGTGACATCAAAAGACACGAGAATCGCATTGTCAGGGATGAATATGTCCTTAACTAAAGATGTCAAGTGTTTGGAATTTTTTATGGAGCTTGAACTGGTGAAATTTGTTGAGTTTAAAATAAAAGAATTCAAGAATTTTGACAATTTGGCGCAGGGGGAGTTGAAATAAGAAACCACTGGTCTTATGGGTATGTTTGGTTTGTGTATCTTTGGGAGGCCATACAAAAGGGGTGTACTAGGATTCATTAAATTGAGTTTGTACTTATTGGTACCAAGTTCCAGAAGTATGTCATTTCGATCATTGAGATGTTTTCTTAATTGGGTTATGAATTTTTGGGTGGGGTTATTGTTAAGCAGGGAAAAATCACCATTCTCAAGGAAATTGGTTACTTTGTCAACGTAAGCATCTCTGTCTAGAATTACTATGCAATTGCCCTTATCAGCCTTGGAAATGATTAAGTTTTTATTTTTTATGTTGGTTTTTAACAATTTGAGGGATTTATTGAGAGAACTGTTTTCTTCATTATCTGTGTGATCATTATGGTTGTAGGAATCATTCAAGAGAACCGAAATTCTAGATGAAATCATGTCAGGGTCATCAATTCCAGAAGCCTCTAAAGTGCTTTGGCATTTGACAGCAAGCATTTCAAGATCACTAGAGTTAGTGCCTTTGTAGAAGTTGAATTTAAGACCAAGAGATAGCAAATTTTCTTCCTTGGTGGATAAGTTATGTGAACTCAGATTAAGAAATCTTTTATGGAATTGAAAAGGTGTGTCATCAAAGTGGTCGCTGGGGTTTTCGTTAGAGTGATTAAATACGTTTTCGAAAATTGAGTTGTCAAAGGAAAAAGAGGAATTACCCAAGTCATCGTTCCTAGGGGCCACAGATGGTAAAAAGGTACTGTTGTGCACAGTCGGTAGGTCGCCAGTAGGTAT